CCTGCGCACTGCGCCACCCGCAGAGCGAGCTTCCTCTGCCCCCACACCCCGCTGTGAATAGCGAACACACGCAAGCGCCTGTCCTCGTGCAAACCCCGTTTGCCCAACGCCTGCCCCTCCCCCATCCCATCAACAGCGCAAGGGTATGGGCGCGTGCGCAAAGACACCCCCCCCCAGAAATGCCCTCAAGATAAGAAATTTTCCCTCCCTTCCCGGTCGTCCCCCGGCCTAGGGCCTTGGCCTCACCCCGCCGCCCGCAGCCCCGGCTCCTCCACCACCGCCGCCACCGCCTCCGTGCTGGTCGCCAGCGTTGTCAGTCTTGAGCCGCTTAGGGGCCCGGCCGCCCTCACTGCCGCCGCCGTAGTAGCGGCCGCCGCCGCCTCCGCCGCCCGCCGCCGCCATCTTCACCATCGCTCCCGACCGCCTCCGCTGCTCCTCCGGCTGCTGCCTCTGCTCGAGCCGCCGACGCCGCTTCTCCGCCCGGGGCAGCAGCCTCCGCGACATGGCGGCGCAGAACCCGCCTCCCCCCGCCTCTCATTGGGGGAGGGACACGCCCGTCACCCGCCGCCCCCACCCGATAGGGGGAGCCACTGGTCCCGCCGCGGGGGGAGGGGAAGCCTCTCCACGCCTTGCGCGCCTATTGGGTAAAGCACACTTCGTTCTACAGGAGGGCCCGCCCTCGTTTGTCTGGGATACTCTTGATAGGCGAGTGCTTTCTGCCAGTCATTATACCGACTTTACTGCCTTAAAATAAACTCCAATTTGATTGGTCGAATTTCTGGCACGGCGCGCTCCACACTCCTGAAAAGCCCCGCCTCCTTCCCAATGTCATTGGTTTTCTTGCTGTTCCATCAAACCGAAAGCCCTTAGTCTTCCAGTCACAACGACCACCTCCCCGCGCCACTCCACAAGAAGGAAGCCCCTCCCTTTTGCATCTCGCCAGCGGTTACTGCAGAGGCCCATCTTCTGCGTTTTCCTCACCAGATGGTAGAACCACTGGTGGTCTCTGATTGGGTGAAAGAGGGGAGCACTTTGGCGCAGTCTAGTAGGAACGAGACGAGAACGCATGCGCAAATGTGCTTTCGGGCGCCTCCGGAGGCGGGGCGACCCCCTAAAGGAGCGAAGACCTGGAGTACCCCGAGTATTTATTGAGTGACTGTTGTGTGGGGCGCTACAAGGCTAGACAAGTATTTATTGAGTGATTGCTGTGTGCAGCGCGGGAACGCTAGACAAAGAGGCAACTACCAGTACAGCTCTGTCCCCGTCACTATACCCTATTTCTCTTCACCTCTTTCACAATGCCGGAAGAATTTTTTAACCCAAATTTGACCCTCTCCGTCAGTATAAAACCATTTGCTGCAGCCGATGTCTTCAGACCCCCGTCCAGTTCGCTCGTGTCATTTCACCACTCCACCTCTAAATTCAGCTGCAAAAACTCGGTTTGCTCGAGGGGAAGCATCTTTCGCGCACCTCTTGACCTTTGCCCTACGCAGTCCTGTCCACCTTGAACACTTTCTCCACTACCCCTCCTTGCTGGAGCTAAGGAATAATTCCTTCAGCCCGTGCGGTCTCAGTTCACTCTGAAAAGCCTTCCTCGTCTCTACCAGCCCGGACCCTCGGGGCTCCCCCCCGTGATAACCCCTGATCACTCCGGCCATTGGTTTTCACGCGACAGCTCTTACTCTTCCAGGTCCTCACAGTCCGGTGACGGTCTGTTCCCTTAACATGGAAGCCCTGTATGGGCCAGGGAGCTGTGGTCCCTGCCTCGGCCTTAGTGGGGCTGGCTCGCCTACAAGGCACCCGGTCCAGCACCCGGCACGGTGCAAAAACTCTGCAAACAGAAGTCGTTATGGTGTTCAAAGCGTCTGGCGAGCCTTCCGTCCTCTAGGACGTTGGGCCACCTCGCAGAGAATGCCTTTCCTGAGACTAGGGTCCAATTACGCCCAATAGCCGGAACCTGGGGGCGGGGCCGGGGG